TAGTAAAGGATCAGACGAAATTAGGGGAAGAGAGGCTTATAGAGGAGGAGGAAGACAGTGGTTGAGTCGAACAAAGGCAACAAATAGATTAAAGAGAGTAGGGACAGAGGGAGGACACTGCATTTGGCCTGGAGGAGAGCGTTAATGGCCCAAGCACTGGGAAGTGGACAAAAGGCAGGCTGCAGTGGGGTCAGATGAGAGAGAACCAGAGAAGAATAAATTTTTTAGGACCTACGATCATAATAATTCACTTCCAAGTTCCCCCCGCAGCCACTATTACTTTACTTCTGGTTTTTATCACATTGGGATTTTTGCCTGTATCAGTTTTCTTTCTTTCTCTTTCTTTCTTTCTTTCTTTCTTTCTTTCTTTCTTTCTTTCTTTCTTTCTTTCTTTCTTTCTTTCTTTCTTTCTTTCTTTCTTTCTTTCTTTCTTTCTTTCTTTCTTTCTCTTTCTTCCTTTCCTGATAAATGAAAACCTTAGGGAGAAAAAAAAATCCTATGAGTAAGTTTCTTTGCCCTTATTTTTGAACTGAAAAATAAAGAAATGACAAGTTCTCTTTCTGAGCCTTTCTAGGTGCCAGAAATCCTGCCATAGAGAAATCTTACTAATATACCCTATACATGCTGTTTAAAAACAGAAAGCCTTGCCCACCCAAGGTCATATCAGATGCTTTTTTTTTTTTTTGGCCTCAATGATTTGTGTATATTTTATCCATGAAAGACAAATTATTATGAAAGGCTATGAAATATAGATTTAAGAAACTCAAAGAACAAAGTGCATTCTTTGCTCTTTGAATTTCTTAAAATTAAGTTCTTAAGACTCCTGCTGCTTACCTTCAAACAAGCCACCTTGAAACTACTCTATGAAACCGGGTTAAAGGACGAACCAAAGAGTTTCACTTATTAAAAAAAAAAAAAAAAAAGCACATAGAGAGAACATTCCCCACTCACTTCTTCTAGTATCCATACTTGTTAGCTAAATTGAACGCGTGTGGTGGGTCTCACCGGGCACAGACTAGAAGCCCCTTTATATTACAACTCAGTCGGGAGCATTGATTCCCTTGTAATTAAGGGCAAAGGTCCAGCCAGCCATGCGATTGGAAGCAATTATGTGGATTACTCCACTCCTTCAACATTTCTCAAGAATTTGTGTATTTGTAATTTTATGTTTGTCTGAAATCCTTAGTAGAGCCCCCATGGTTGCTCTCGAAGCAGTAGGGCCATCCTCCAGTCAAAATAATCAACACTGAAACAAGACTAACGCTACACTACCCAGTGTTTCATGGCTGTATGGGGTGTTAGCATAATCTATCTAAATTCTATGAGAGTTAGGGTTTAAGTCACTGGTCTTCAGAGACAGAGGCTGAGATGAGCTTCACATCTGAGGAACAGATCCCTGTGGTCCCAGGAGAAACCAAAGATTAACAAAAGAAAAGGAAAGGAAGGAGGGCTAGGAAAGGGAAGCAGATGGATTATGGTCTACTCCACTCCCTTCAGGTGACAACGTCTCATACAACTGCTTTCTCTCCTATAAGCCTGCAAAGGAGGCGTGGCTTCCGTCTGCAGCTCAGCCAGGGATTGATACCTTCAGGGTGGCAGGAAGGAAGGTGTATGTGTGTGTGTGTGTGTGTGTGTGTGTGTGTGTGTGTGTGTGCACCCTCTGAGAGGAGAGTGACAAGAACACACAAGGGGGTGGGGACAGGAACACACTGTCTGCCACAGGTAACTATTATTATCTCCAGGCCACATACTATAAGATAATGCAGGGCTGGGAAGGTGGCTCAGTGGTAGAGTGCTTGCCTTGCATGCCTGAGGCCCTGGGTTCGATTCATCAGCACCACATAAGCAAAAAGAAAAAAGCCGGAAGTGGCGCTGTGGCTCAAGTGGTAGAGTGCTAGCCTTGAGCTGAAGAGCTGAGGGACAGTGTCCAGGCCCATAGTTCAGGCCCCACGACTGGAGACCCCCCCCCAAAAAAAGATAATGGAAATATATTATTATCACATATTATAAAGTAATGCAAGTTTAAGACATTGACTTGACTCCTACATACATACTTCCTCCTCCTCCTCTTCCTCCTCCTCCTCCTCCTCCTCCTCTTTCTTCTTCTTCTTCTTCTTCTTTTAAAATCATTGTTAGTCAGTAGTCATATAGAGGTTACAATTCCGTAAGTCAGGTAATGAGTACAATGCTTCTTGGTCAACGTTACCCCTTCCTTCATTCTCTCAGCCATTTTCCCCCTCCCATTCCTACCTTCGCGTGACAATAGCTCATTTATTTTTACATAATGTACAGTAAGAATAATGACTGCATTTGCTGCACAACCCTTCCTCCCTCCACTCCATTCCTTGCCCCTACCCACACTATCATCTTAATCTTCATTTGTTTAGTTTTGGCTTGACATTATATTAGTTTCTGGTAACTTTTATTATTGCTTTGTGTTTGTTTTACTTTTCAGAGGTTGCCTTTACTAAAGGAATTATTCTCGGGGTTTTCTGTGTGTTTTTTTTTTCCTTTAAAAGAGGCATGTATTTTGAGTGGCTTGGACCTGTCATCTCTAGATACTCAGGAGGTGGAAATAAGTAGATCATGGTCTAAAGCTATGCCCAGGCAAATGGGCAAGACTCTATGTGAAAACTAAACTAAAAGCAAAAGGACTGAGTGTGTGGCTCAAGTGGCAGAATGGTTGTCTAGTCTAGCATATGCAAGGCCTCAGAAGCGATTATGCATAATAAAAATAAATAAATAAACAGATGGAGTATTGTACTTGTCTACCTTCTTCCACTCCACAAGAGTGCTGGGAGTATACTTAATAGAACCCACAGGATTCTTAGAATGGCTCTGTCAGCACACAAATGAACAAAGAGAGAAAGACCTAATAATGTGACCCAGACCAAGAAAATCCCACAAAACTTTGCTGGCCCAGAGAACAGGGTGCCAGAGAGAGGAGCTGAACTAAAACCCAGGAAGAATGTTCCAGGGGAAAGCTTAGGAAATGTAGATGTCAGCTTCCTATGTGTTTCTGTGAAGAGGGGAAATGCTCTTGTCTTGTGTTTGCTGATAGAGGGCATTGCTCTGTGGGTGCAGTGAACTCTAATCCCTGCCAGGTGGCCCGCTTATTGGGGAAAGGAGAATGAGGAAGGGAAAGGAAAGCTTGAATGTTTACAAAACAATTGTTTTTCAGACCCTACATCACGAGAACTCACATTTTCATAGGCAGTATAAGTGCACTGTTGGAAGAGTTTTATGTATATTAACTTAAATTCTCCTAAACCTCTATCTAGTAATAGTGTCATTATTTCCATTTTGTAGAAGAGAAAATAGAGGTGCAGATACATTAAATAGCTTGTTTGAGACCACACAGCTGGTAAGTTGTGGAGCTAGGGGGTGAGTCTGAGTCCTTTTCTTTTGGGAGTCTGTGTTCTCATCCACTGTCCTGCACAGCCATCTGGAGTTCAGAGAACTGGCCAGTGACAGTACTAATTATTGTTTGATTATGGGTTAATTCTGAGTGCTTTGCAATGTGTGTGTGAGTGTGTGTGTGTGTGTGTGTGTGTGAGAGAGAGAGAGAGAGAGAGACAGAGAGACAGACAGACAGAGACAGAGAGACACACAGAGAGAATGTTGACTGCAGCCTTTTAGCTCTTTTACTCAAGGCTACTCTACCATTTGAGCTACAGCTCTACTTCTGGCTTTTTTTGGTGGTTAATTAAGAGATAAGAGTCTCAGACTCTCCCGTCCAGGTTGGCTTTGAACTGCCATCCTCAGATCTCAGCCTCCTGGGTAACTAGGATGACAGGAGTGAACCACCAGCTCTCTGCCATTTTGCTCTGCCATTTTTAAAGCAATGTCCCCGTCTCCCCCCCCCCCCCCCCCCAGCCACCCTCAGTCATTGGTAATAGCTGAATTGTAAGGGGAACTTTGAGTCCAATGTCAAGAAGAAACATTTGCAAAAATGGTTTTAAAGTTGGTATGAAATTATAGATGTTCAGAAACTTTTAAAAGTAAGTGCTTGAGGCCAGGCAGTCCCGTACTCTGTTCTGTACAGAAATGATGGCACTCCCTGCCCCAGGGCGCTGGCATGGGCAACAATTACATCATTAAGCCACATTCAATATTCAGCTGCTTGCTACGAATTAAATTGCTGGAGCTAGATGGGGCAAGCCTCATGTTACCATGGTTTGAATGAGGTGAACACATTAGTGTGATATATTTAGTGTTCAGAAACAGCTAAATGTAAGATTAGCTTTGTTACCAAAAAGATAAGTGCATGCTGTTATTACTCAGGCCTATTTGCTTCAGGTCCCGAAGTAAACAATCACACACCAATTTAGTCTATTGAGTCAAGCTGTCCAGGTCCTATCGAGTTTATAGTTTATGGGCAGGAGTGACTCAGGGGAGTTCACTTATAAAGGACTCAAGACACTCGCTGGCGCTTCTGCTGCCCTCTAGAGGCGTGTCAGGTCAACACAGCTCATCAGTTCCCCAAACCATGAAAATCCCCAAATCATGAACATTTCCCAACCTAGCCAAGGACTGTTACTCAGGAAATATTTCAAGGCTCTTCCCTGTGTTTCTCGAACTCCATTTCAGCCAATGAATAAAAGCGTGAAGGTTGTATTATGACTATAAGTAGAGCCAACACTTGTGCAGTCTTTGCTATATGCTAATTACAATTCTCAGTTTGTCATATATCTGCACTTACTTAATTTCCAAAACAGCTCTGTAAGGTGGGCAGTCTGATCGTCTCCATTATAAACCGTGGGGCAGAGGCAAGGTTCTGTTAAGTTCTTCTCAGAGCTCATGAGTAGTGGGGCTGGATTTGAACCCAGGAAGATCTGGCAACCTGGACCAGGCTTGAGCCTTTCAGTGGTACCACTTCTTTTATACCTATTAAGGCGTACATTAGAAGTCAAATTTTTAGGTATAATTTGTGCCTAAAAATCAGATTTAGTCTGGTAATGGGAAAAATGGCCCGTAGACACTTCAAAAATGTCAATGTGGTGCTCACTTTGGTGGTACATGAATGAAAATTGGAATGAAACAGAGATTAGCATGGTCCCTGCACAAGGATGACACACAAAAACCCCAAATTAAAAATGCCAATGTTATGATAAGAGGAGGAGGACAATGAGAAAGAGAAGAAGAAGAGGAGGAAAGAGAAAGAAAACTAATCTGCAGGCATAGCAACTAAGAATAATTCACAGTCTGTGACTGGATATAAAACAATAAAGGTATAACTAATATTATGGAGATTTTGGGAAATTTGAATGTGGCCTGCCTATTAGATAGTAATGTTAATATTAAATTTCTTGAGTATAAGCCTTTCTCTAGTGATTAGATAGGATTATGTTCTTGTTTTAATTAATATTCGGTAAAGTGCTTAGGGAGTAAAAATGTCATGATACAAAAAATCACTATCAAATAGTCCAAGGAAAGAAAATTTAAAAAAAATTAGTGAGCAAAAAGGGGAAAATACACAAAATGTTAAAATCTGAGAGAATAGGTAAGGGGCATGTGATGTTCATGGTGCTATTTTTGAAGCTTTTTTTTTTTTTTTTTTTTTCCTTCTCTAGGTTTGAAAGTTTTATAGGAAAAATCGGCTTCCTCTCAAAATCAGAATCAATTATGGATACAGACAGAGACCTGGCCCACACGTTGTGGGGACAGGTAGGAAAAGTGTATTGAGGTAGAAATCTGTAAAAGACTGTGAAACCTGCGGGCAGGTACTCCTGAGATGTACAGTGAGCTATTTTCCTGCGTATTCAGATGTTAAAGCTTAGTCATCAATGTTGCTCCATTAGTACTGGACTCTTTATACATCGATATGCATTTAGAAAGTATTCAGCTCTCCACTCAACAGACAAATGAGGCAAATTATAAAGTTTTATAAAACACATAAGTCTAATTTAGCCTTGGAGTTACTACACTTTGGTTGTTCATCGAAAAGTCATGTATAGGACTTTTTGACTATGTTTGAGATAATGAGAAAGATGCTGAGATATATTGGTGAAAAGAATCAAGATACCTGACTCCTGGTCCTTTTGTTTTTTTTTCCTACTGGCATAAGCAGCTAGGGAACAAGAAAGAATTTGAAAGTGACCATTTCCCAGCAAAAGTAGAAGAGAGCAGCTAAGTTGATGTTTCAGGTGGCTGCAAAACAAAGAGATTGCGATTTTCAATAAAACCCTGAGGGTAGGTTTCAGTCACATAAGCCCTCAGGGAACCTTCAAGGAAAGTGAAAGGGAACCATACAAAGGGGACCTACTGTCAGGGTTAGCTCCTAGTGGAGTGCCGAGGGCCCTGGAGACAACAGACAGCACCTGGAAAAGACCAGAAGGTGAGAAATCAGGAAAGAGGTACAGATGTGCTCACACAAGTCATTACAAGAGATTTTCTTTTATTTTAATTTTAATTTTTTGAGCCAATACTAGGGCTTAAGCTCAGGGTTTTGTACTCTTGCAAGGCTGGTACTCTTCTACTTGAGCCACATCTCCACTTCTAGCTTTCTCCTGGGTAGTTAGAGAGTCTTGGATTTGTCTGCTCAGGCTGGCTTTGAACCCTGATCCTCCGATCTTCAGCAATCCTGAGTAGCTAGTATTATAAGCATAAACCACCAGCGCCTGGTTGAGATTTTTGTTGAACTGCTGCACAACATAGAACACTGTCGGAAGATTTTGAGCAGAAGAGTAACATGACTGGACTTGATACTTAAAACAGTAATCTAGTAATGGGACCCATATGGGGACAGTTATCTCCACCCAGGCTAGAAGAATTAGTGTTGGGGAAATGGGATTTCAGTCTGCATTTATTTGGATAGCAGAAGAGTCAACGGGATAATGATGCTGATAACTTGAATGTGGTAGCTGAGGGAAGGAAACAAGTCCAGGTTTGTGTTCTGAAGCATGATGGGTAATTGGGTTATCGCCCCTGAGACAAGGAGAATAGCTAGAGAAGATTTTGAGGGAAAAGATCGTCAGTTCAGTTTTGACCAGGATGATTTGAGCTCTCGATTAGCCATCTAGTGGGGTTGCTATCAAAGCAATTGGAATGAGGGGAGGGATGGAGGGATGGGTCCACTGAGGTGCATTGTATGTGTATGTGGAGGCATTATAATGGAACCCTTCTACATAACTAATATACTCCGATTTTAAAAATAAAAAAATGAAGGCAGTCCTGAGTTTGAAGCAAAGTCAGGGCTAGACATTTAAACTGGTCCTATGTACTATATAAATGGTATCAAAAGCCATAAATGAGACTAGACAGACTAAGACATTCCCTTGACATTTTCCTGTTGTATGCGTTTATACTCTCTGTACTCCTCATTTTGCTTAGGAAATTATTACACTGCCCAAAATAGAAAGGGAAAACTGACAATTATCTAAATTGCATTAGATCATCCAACGATTACATTTGCAAAATATAATTAATGTCCCCCAGTTATCTGGTTTGATTTTCTAAAGGCATCGACATTATTCAGCTTGAAGACAGCTACATTTTGAGTTGCTATACCCCAGTATTATTTAATCAATAATATATTAATCTTCGGGACGGTAAAGTTCAAAAAATGCTTTGATGTGATTGTCTATAAGGAATCCTCCTCATCTGTGTTTACTTTCCGAATTAAAGTCAGTGTTGTTGAAATATGACAGTTCTGCCTTCTGGTTTTAAAGCTTATGACTTGACAGGTCTCATTTTGGTGATTGCAAAAATGGCTTTTCAAAAGTGTGCTCAAGTAGGGTCCTTATTAATCAAGAACTGAAAGAGGAGGAAATTCTCTCTCTAGATGAGAGAATTGTTTTGTCTAACAACAACAAACCAATCAGTGAAGCCAGGTGTGGTGGTACATGCCTGTAATCACAGTACTTTTGGGAGGTGGAATTAGTAGATGGATGAGTTTGAGACCAGCTTGGTCTATGTAGCAAGACCCTGTCTCAATAAACAAATAGACAAACAATACAAACCAGAAACCAATGATGATAAGGAGCTCATTCAAGTGCAAATAAGTCACCATGGTAAATGCCTTTTATCAATAATATTTGGATTATAATGTCAGAGCCATTTTAACCCTTGTGCTAACTGGAAATGTAAGCAAGCTCAGAGCATTCATTCCCTCTCACCCCTTACCATGAATTGTAATGTAGTACTAAACAATCTAATTCTGGCATGGAATGAGAAGAACCTACTTTAATCTGACTTTTAAAAATGAAGGAGTTGGGTAAGACACCCATTAAGAAACACAGAGCTTAACCAGGCATCTGGGGTTGTGAATAAGAACCTAATTGTTTTTGTTTGTTTGCTCTTTTCCTGCCTCTCTTGTTTACCCTCAAAGTCATTGTCTTCAACCCAAAGCTGGCTTTCTTTGCAGGCATAGAGGGGCTGCCAAGAATAGCTGGACTAGTTGCTTCCTTGCAAATATCCAAGAAGAAGGACTGTCCTTCAATGATCAGGATGGCAAGTCATCTGCACTCAGCGCCAATTCTTGAGGCCAGTCAGATGCCATGTGTTGACAGTCTGATGGCTTCAGTCACCTGATCCCTGGAACAAGTCAAAGCAATTCCCTAACTGCTGACATCTTTGGAGATGTCCGTGGGAGGGTGTTGGCGACTGTGGTGGGAGCAGGGGTGGTGTGGCCTGCCTGCGGGGGCTGTGATGATCATGTCTGCTCCGTGAGCTCCTGAATCGCGCAGGGGATTCAAACTCAGCTCATGCTCCACTGGCATTTATTGTTGAAACTCAGGCATAAGCTTTTCTTTATTTCATTTTACTCTGTTTATTTGATAGTGGCAGAAAACCAATACCACCCATCCAGGAAGGAAATCTGAATTAACTTTCAGTAGATAGGGACAAAGGAAAAAGTCACCTTTTCTTACACTATTAGCCAACGCCAACAATGACTGCCTGTTGCACTTATAGGGAACGGTCTCTGTCTCCTGGAACTGGAGAGGACACGGAACAGCATGTAGCATGTGTATGTCCTCAAGAGCAGAGGGTACATGAAAGAGACACGAGCAATAGAACATTGGCTGTGAAGGTAATAGGCGAGCACCAGACCATGAAAGCTGCGGGGGGGGGGGGGGGGGGGGGGGGAACATCTCTGAGATGATCTGATTTGAATCTCTGAGCCACAAAAGTCTCAAGAAGAGGAAGGACAGGGTAGCTATGAAAGTGAAGTGTGTGTGGGAAGGAAAACAGAACTGTTGGTGAATTGGTGGAAGAATCATTTGGTTAGGGCATAGTAGCTCACGCCTGTAATCCTAGCTATTTAGGAGGCTGAGATTGAGATGATAGGCCAGGAAAATGTTAGAAAGATCTCATCTCAATGTATAGCTGAATACTGTGGATTGTGCCTGTAGCATCCCAGTGACTTGGGGAGGCAGAGATGAGGAGGATCATGGTTCTAGACCAGCCGGGACCAGAAGTTGGTGAGAAGACCATTTCAAATAGCTGGCGTGGTAGCACACATCTGTTATCATCATAGTTATCCAGGAAGCAAAATATAGGAGGATCACAGATCAGGCCAACTCAGGTGAAAAACATGAGAATCTGTTTCAAAATGTTAAAAAAGCAAAAAAAAAAAAAAAAAAAAAAAGGGTTGGAGATATGCAAAAGTATTTGATAGCAAGTAGGAGATCCTGAGTTCAAATCTCAGTCCTCCTCCACCCCCCACCTACACAAACAATAATGAATGGAGCTCCACAGGTGAGCACGTGTTCCTGTTTTCCTTTCTCCACACTACAATCTAAAGAGAAGAGATTTATTTTCTAGAGCAAATAAGCCAAAGAATCTCTGGACTAAGGATACTGACCTAGCTAAGGGAAGGTGTAACCTCGTAAAAACTGGATGATCAGAGAAAACCTACATTAGAAAAGGTAAGAACTTCAATGTCATTCCTCTCCCTTGACTCTTCAAGTGCCAGAACTGAGGAAGGAGACTAAAAATCCCTTCTCTGCTTTAGTTCAAGAGTGGACACCTACAAGTCCTGACAGCCAAGGATACAGTATGGAAAAGGCTAAGAGGAAAGTCTATTCATCACAAAGTCTCACTCTGTCCCTATCATTTCAGATAGCTCTCGAGTTCTCTCCGAAAATACACAAGCAGACAGCC